TAGTACTTTCTAGCTTGTTCTCAGTGGCGCCGTGGGACCCTTGTTTTTGGGGGGGCCAAGGGCTGTACTTTTCCGACAAACCTGAAAATAATTTCCGACAGAAATTTTTCTGGTGACCTCCACCCCCCCCCCGGTCGCCAAAAAAATTTCGGTCAGTGTACCATTTTAGGGGTCAAAAATTTTTTCCGGACATACCTAAATTTTTCGTTACATCCTAAAATTTTTTCGGAAATCACCCATTTTCTCAATTTAGCAAAAAATTTCCGAATTTACCAACGTCGGAAATTTTGCCAATTTCCGACAACGTTGTCAATTTTCCAAAAATTTCCGACAACATTCACAATTTTCCGACGGGTCTTCACAGTAGGGGGGGGGGGGGCTATGGCCCCCCGGCCACGGCGCCACTGCTTGTTCTTAAACTATATAGCTTTAGTATCTTTAATAAAATTGTTAACACGATTTCTGCAATTCTTGTATAGTTCATGATATCTTGTCGAATTATGTTTAATTGCTTTTCTCTTTAGAAAATCTCTATGATAGTTCATATTCTTAATTTCGTTTGTCATCCAAGGGTTATATTCACTTTTTACCTTTCTTTTTAGTACTGGGGCATGAATGTCAGCAATTTCCAAAAATATTTCCTTCCATGTGTACCAGGCAGTATTTGCATCAGTGCAATTGTAAAACAAAGTTGAGTTAAGTGCTTGGTTAAGGTCTTGCTGGAAATTGGTAATGTTAAAGTGCTTGAATTGTCTTGTTTCTACTACTTTAGGTTTTGCTTTTGGAATACTAACCTTTCTGCATGCATAAACCAGGCTGTGGTCGCTAATTCCGAGGTGAATGACCCCTGATTCAATGATTTTTGTGTCGCCTATTTTTGTGATAATAATGTCTAATAGAGTTTTAGTTCTAGGAGTAATTCTTGTCGGGCTAGTGATTAGCTGTTGTAGTTGGTATTCATTTATTAACTCAATCAATTTGTTTGTATGTTGGTTATTATTTTCAGTTGACAGAAAATTGCAATTAAAATCACCAGTTATAACAAAATCTTTGTCCTCTTCATCAATGTTCTGTAAAAATTTTTCAAAATGGACAAGTAATTCTATCTTGGCATCGGGAGGACGATACCATGTTGAGATCAGTAGAGGTTTGCTGTTAGGCTTGTTAATTTCAATACAAATAGCTTCTACTGTACTTGAAAGTAAGTGATTGCAAATAGTGTAGGGAATAACATTTCGTATATAAATTGCGACACCCCCACCATTTCGATTTCGGTCTTTCCGAATGAGATCATAACCTGTGATATTAACTTCGTTGTTGTCAATAGTGCCGTCAAGTCTAGTTTCATTGATACTTAATATGTCAAACATTTTATCGTTCATAAAAATTCTTAGTTCATCAACATGCTTATATAGACTTGCAACGTTTAGATGGCCAATTTTAAAGCCTTTCAGATTTGGATAAGGCGTGCTGTTTATTTGCATTGTTTGTCGTGAACTAGACTGTGTGTTTATTTGATCTACGATATGCAAAAATGTTGAATCAGGATCCGTAGTGTTTGAAAACTCAGAATCTAGTCAATGGCTGCTAAGAAATTGTCTTATGTTTTTAGCTAATGTAGTAGTTCCATGTTTATTTAAATGTAAACCAGAGTTATTTAGAAGACTTCCTTTAATGTTGTTGTGTTTAATAAGTCCCCAGCCCTTATCTGTACATAATTTAGCGAACTCGGCATTGACTACATTTACCTTTTCTGCTAAGTTTGGATCATCAGTTCGAGTTATTATTTCCGACCATATAAGTTCCAGATCGTTGTTCTGTCTATGGATCGTTTCACCAAGAAATCTTCAATTAAATCTTCTGGTGTTTTGTTATGTAAGTCGTTGGTTCCAACATGAAATATAAGTGTCTTTGGCTTGGTAATTACAGTTGCATGGTACTGCATAATGCTTCATTTGCTCAATTCCTGCACCAGGAAATGTCTTAATGGTTACTTTTCCTTTCTTCAATCCATTCTGCATTCGTTTGGTGTCCAAATGTTTAAGCATCGAATCTCAGAGGATAGCAATTCTAGGTTGACTACGTTGTGAGTCACGACTTGCCTCATTAGAATTTGATGGACCACTGCTTTTTCCAACCATCTGTATGTTGCTGTGTTTGGTTGTATTCGAAGTTTCATCTAGAATCTGTTGGGTTTTCAGTCTTGCTGGAATATCGTCATGTTCAGAATCAGTGACACTAAGGGTTGTATATTGATTTTTTGTTTCAATAGTATTTGATCCTGCTGGGGTCTCTGGAGGTGGTTTGTTATACTTCGTCTTTACAACTTTCCATTTATGTTGTTGAGTATTATCTAATAGGGGGATTCAAGGTTTCCGACGCCATTGGCTCAGGGGGTGCAAACACATTGGAGCGAGCGCGCGGCCAGCGCCATTTCCCATACTATTTCCTATAGGAGTGGGAAAATTAGGTTTGCACAATTTGCTGAATTTCTGCAAAAGTATTAAAGAATCGTTCAATTTTACAAGTTGTGATCAATTTCTGGGTATTTTCTGATGTCCGTACGGGTTTTCATCCGAATCAAAGCCCTGGAAGTGTTAAAATATGGCGAGTTCGTTGGGACGTTTTGCGAGCTGTTTAATATAGTTTAGTATTGTTTACATGTCAGCGTGTATATGAAAACATTTGGTTTCTTCGAGATTTAACACCCGAAATGAATGAAATTTTCGCTGAACATAAATATTTATCATACAGGAAACCACATGGAGTGCGAACATGTAATTTGATATCTCGTGCGCCTTGCCGGTGCTATTTTGTCGCTTCAAAACCTGTTATCAGTGGTGTCGCATTGCAGTTGATAGCTTCGCTTCGCCGAGAAATACAGATCGCCGCTTGTGAAGAAGTATTTTCGACAGCTCTATTCTCTTTGGGGAAATTAAAAATATTTCTCGTGCACCAGTGAACGAAACAGCGAGAAGAAAGTCTGACTTATGAAGATTTACTGACCTGGACGAACACCACACTGAAAGATTGGAGTTTATATCTTTTGAGTATTGTATAAATAGTATATATAATATAGAGTGTATATATGTACAGAATAGCCTGTATATTATGTATATGTATACACTATATATAGGATACATTGTGCATATTTTGCAGCCAAAACAACCAAACGTGTATATAGTTAGTGACTAGTGTATACAGTGTCAGTGAGTGTTTGAGTGAATGTCAAAGACTACATATACACTGATACTGTATATGCAGAATATACTGTACATATATTATCGGTTTATAGTCAAAAGTGTATATGGAGATATAGCTAGTGATTAGTGTACAGTATATACGTATATACACAATGCACATATATTATCAGTACATCACTATATACACTGTATACACTTTTGACTAGATAGACTAGTGTTTGAGTGAATGTTAAAAAGTACACATGTACACAATATACTCTAGGTATATTATCAGTATATAGTCAAGTGTATACAGTGTATATATAGTGAGTATTTGAGTGAATGTCAAAGGACAAATTGTGGCTATATACTGTATACTGTGTATATAGTGTATACATAGTCATAAATACACAATATACTTATATACGTATATTATCAGTACTGTATAGGGAGTGTTTGAGTGAATGTCAGTTTACTCATGCCTTTAAGTTTAAATTAAGTATAAAGCGGGATCTTTTTAAGAACGAGGAAACATGTATGCCTTTATGACATATGACTGTCATATGTATCAAATGAGGAAACATGCCTTTATTACTTATACTTATAAATATAACTAAACTATAAGACCGGTTTGAGTGCTAAAATGTGTAATATAATATTTGATTACAAAACAAGGCTTCCTACATATCGACATGCATTCATATTTACAATCAAGTTGATAAAAGCGAGAATATACAATATATACAGTTTTGACTATAGGCATGTATATTGTGTATATACAGACTAGACTAGCAAGTTGATAAAAGCGAGAATATACAATATATACAGTTTTGACTATAGACATGTACATTGTGTATAGTCTATAGACATAATAGATGAGAATATGACAGTAAAGTATGTATACAAAATATACTGTGTATACTGGTGAAGTATATCGTGTATATTTTGCAATACCGAGGCTTAGTGAAGACTTCCTTGGTATTCGTGGCTTCAAGCAAACTGATTCAAATGCTAACTGATTGCAAGAGCATTTGGTCTTAACCTGAGTATCAGCAGGCGTGCCTGTGCCCTAAAAAGTACGGCCTGATACTCAGGTTAATTTGGTCTTGGAGCATATACGAGTTAAACACTCCAGTCTCCAGTAAAGTTCATTCAAAACTCCACACAATATAACTGGCGCACACGTATAAACTCCTTTTACAGAAACAGTTTAACAGATAATAACAAGTATTTAACTTTATTCCCAACAAAAACGTTCAACGGCGTTCTGTAGACGTAGTTTGTAATCACAAAGCGAAGCTATCAACTGCAAATATGCGACACCACTGATATAAACACATATTACTGCAGGTTTTGAAGCAACAAAATAGCACTGGCCAGGCGCACGAGATATCAAATTACATGTTCGCACTCCATGTGGTTTCCTGTATGATAAATATTTATGTTCCGCGAAAATTTCATTCATTTCGGGTGCTAAATCTCGAAGGAACCAAATGTTTTCATATACACGCTGACATGTAAACAATACTAAACTATACCAAACAGCTCGCAAAACGTCCCAACGAACTCGCCATATTTTAACACTTCCAGGGCTTTGATTCGGATGAAAACCCGTACAGACATCAGAAAATACCCAGAAATTGATCACAACTTGTAAAATTGAACGATTCTTTAATACTTTTGCAGAAATTCAACAAATTGTGCAAACATAATTTTCCCACTCCTAATAGGAAATAGTATGGGAAATGGCGCTGCCGTGCGCTCGCCCCAATGTGTTTGCACCCCCTGAGCCAATGGCGTCGGAAACCTTGAATCCCCCTATTCGTGTTGCAAGAGTGTTAATGTCGTTGATAAGCTCTTATTTTCGTTTTCAAGGTTTTGCATTCTGTCATTTAAATCCGGCTGAACAGTTTGAGTTTCCTTTTGAACTAGCTTTAGGGTTGTGATTAGACTCTGCTTCTCATCTTCCAATCTTTGTACTGTCGAATTAAAATCCGAAATTTTTTGATGTAATACTTCGTTCTTCTCTCTTAAGTCGTTGTTAGCTTTGCTTAGGTCATATTTCTCTTTCTTTAATTCATGGACAGTGTTCTCGAGAATTATAATGGAATAAACTTTATTTTCTTTAATGTCAGCCACTTCTTTTGTAAGAGCTTGAAATTTGCTGTTGACGTTCTCAGCAAAGCTCTCCAGCTTAAATTTCAA